ATGACAATGCTCTTAATACACTTGGTATACTGCAGTGTAAAGAAATGACAATGCTCTAATACACTTGGTATACTGCAGTGTAAAGAAATGACAATGCTCTAATACACTTGGTATACTGCAGTGTAAAGAAATAACAATGCTCTAATACACTTGGTATACTGCAGTGTAAAGAAATGACAATGCTCTAATACACTTGGTATACTGCAGTGTAAAGAAATGACAATGCTCTAATACACTTGGTATACTGCAGTGTAAAGAAATAACAATGCTCTAATACACTTGGTATGAAAACAACAATTAGTACATGAGAACATAATTTGATTGTTTGTCTGACACTAATCAAGCTTTTCAATTCATAAAGCTGCATACATGTACACAGGCCTCTGCATTCTGAAATATCATACCAAATTAGGTCAGATGATGTGGAAACACTTCATTGCCAAGACATGACCGAAGTTTGACCTTATTGGAACACACCATTTTTCAAATCAAGGTGATGCATTAAAGAGGCCATACACATCAGACTATAAAAATGAGTAAGCTGTACCCTAATAACCCCAATTTATATATATAATATTCCCAATTTGAAATATTAATTTGTGATAAGAAAGATATCGAAATAATAGAATGGTGTATTTACACACAATGATTTGTTTGTTTTTTCGTTATATAATTAATATTTAGCTTATTTATTAATGATTCACGTTGCTATACATGTGTACAGTATTCATGCAATGTCATTTGCATAGTAGAACTCATTGTGAGATGTGAGAACAATAGCAAATAAAGCAAAATGAATGTAACACTGCATGCATGACCCTCAAAGCACACATCCCAGTAATTTCTGGGGTATCAATTATTGCAAACTGATTTTGAACTTCTTGCATTTTATGGAGAATATAATTGAAAATACCAGGATGGCATGACCTTTTGAAGGCCATGCATCAGGCTTATTACACAACTAAATCAAGCCGTGTACTTTCAGATTGTTCTCTAGAACTTTGCGTTGAAGTGTTAGAGCTTGATGAGGTAGGTGAGGATCCCAGTATTATTGCTCTAGGATTAGCTTGGTCTTCACTATCAGTACTCAGATAAGAATCATCACTATCATCAGGTCCAGATGTAGAGTATGACGACGATGCAGACATGTGTACCTGTGAAGCTACAGATGTAGTTCCCAAAGCACCAGATCTTGTTCCTGGCATATTAGATATTGTAGCAACCAGTAATGGTGTGTTCTCATTTGGGTTAATATCATCATCATCATCATCAGATTCATCTGATGAATCACCATCTTCTCCGGGAATTACTTTACGCTTACATACTGGACATGTACGCTTGTTACCAGTTAACCAGGGGTCAACGCACTTACAGTGATATGCTGCCAAGATAAGATGCCTGTATTGTCAATGCATGCAGTATGTAATAAAACATGAATCAACAAGCCCTGCATGGCACAGTCCCCGTTAGTTATCAAATTTAAGATATATAGTTTTGTTTATAGTAATATAGCTGGAATATAACCATGTCAGGAATATGATTTTTTAACATTAAAATGATTGACATTTGTATCTGATCGTCAAACAAGTACTTGGCCATATTGAGAGATATTGCTCTGGAACAGCATTCAAAATCAGCCATTTTGAATACATGTATATATATAACATGATGTATAATGAATATATAAAATTTGAATATAATCAGTCAAAGCATTTAAGAGATATGACTCTAGAAGCCCAATCATTAAAACAAAATGGCCGCCAGTCAGTCATTTTGAATCCAATCTGAATAATAAAATGACGTGCATCAGGAACCCTGAATGTCTAATGTATGTAACCAAGTTTGAACAAAATCCTTCCAGAAATGCTTGATATTTGATGATCTTTCAGCACAAAAATGACCACCATTCGACCATTTTGAATAGGATCGTCAAACCAATATATCTGTCTATCTATGACATGATGTATATTGAATATTTAAAATTTGAACATAATCAGTGAAAGCAAGTCAGAGTGATATGGCACTAGAATCACATTTATTAAAACAAAATGGCCGCCAGTTGGCCATTTTGAATCTTATTTGAAAAACAAAATGATGTGCATCAAGGTCCTATAATGTCTAACGTATATATCAATTTTGAACAAAATTCATCTGTAAACAGCTGAGAAATGCTTGATTTTTAGAATTTTTTAGCACAAAAAGAGCGGCCATCTTGAGCCGGGAAATGTTTGATTTTGATGTTTTTTAGTACAAAAAAATGGCCACCATTCGGCCATCTTGAATCAGATTGTGAAACAAATTGACGTGCATATGTATAATATTATGT